TCTCCCCCGGGTCCTTCCTTTTTTATTTTTCCCCGTTCAAAATAAATCGGATCTGGGGATGTGCCTATAGGGAGCGGGAGGATTGACCACAAGTGTGGTTTTATTTAATATTTTTCAGGCTGCGGATCCAGGTATCCCAAGCCGCAATCTCGAGTAGCCCGTGAGCATCTAGGCAGGGTGCAGATCACCGGTGTTCGGGAGGGAAAAATCATCAACCTGTCAGAAATAATAAAAGCCGTTCTCCGCTCCACATAAAGCAATCTTAATATTGGCTGTCAGCAAGACAGAATTCCTAGCACTTATTTAAATATTTTATTACTTAGAAATAAATGTTTTGCCAATAGATTAAATAGTTGGGAATCAGAGAGAGTCTGCAGAGAAGCTGAAGGCTGGAAAATTGTTTAAGGAAACGACGATCCACTTGGGGATTTGGTTTCCCCTTAGCACGGTAATAGATTTTGCCTGACTTCTTCCACAGTTAAAATGGAATTGGATTGTCTGCACCTTATAAACAGAAACGAAAAATCCCGTTCTCGGTTCTGGGATTGCTGTGGCCGTAGCTCTAGGACAAAGGAAGGCCAGACACTATCCACCGAGGGTGATTTAGGAATAATTAAATCAATCCTGCCACGATGCAGGAAAGGTGGATTAAAAGATGCCCCAGTGAAAGCTTAGCAGAATGCGGAGTGGAAGAAGACCAACTATCCCAGGAGATGTCCTTCTATGTGTGCAACAGGAGACTCGGTCTGGAGGGCTCATCCCAAATCCGGAGCCCCTTCCCAGGCAAGTGCTCCCAGTTTGGGAGTGCTCTGTGTCCCAGTGCTCTGGAGTAAATCTGAGTTCATTTTCTTTGTGGCCCGGACAGGGCTGGGTGAAAACACAGCCGGGACTGGTCTATAGGTCCCAGTCTGGATGGGAGATAGGAAACAAAATTCATATTTGTTTTATTTTCAGTTCTAGACAGAAACAGACCTGCAACACTTGGCTGTAGTTATATATTCTGTACTAAACGGTTAAGACCTCTAATTGTAAGGGGAGATGACAGGCCAATAGTGTGCAAATAGCTGCAGGATAGAAACACCAAAAGGATCAGTGGACTGTGTTGCAAAAGGGACAGGAGCTACCCGTGGATGATCTAAAAAGGGAAAACTTCAGCTGAACGTCAGGCAAAACCCTCCCGCTGGTGAGCCTGAATGGGCTTCTGCGCTCTTGTCGGATGAAGGTGAAGGGGAATGCTTGAAATTAAAGCAAATCAAAACTGGAATAATTTTTCCTGCAGTCCCAGAGAGAGAAAATACACGATTTGATGCGTCTCTGCTGTCCCTAGAGTTCACAGATTTGTCAGAGTTGAAGGAACAACTGTTTGAAAAGAGAATGGATTTAAGAGTGAATTTAAAGAAGGGTCTGGTTGCAGGCAGGTCGCTTGCATTTGCATGCTGCTTTTGTTAGTAATATTATCGATCTGGTGGAATCCTTTTCATTCCAAATAGCGGAGGATATTTCTGAGATTTTCTGTTTATGCTCTCTGGAACTGTAGGGCTTTTCTGAAATTCAAATGTATTTTAGAAAAAGACTCTATTTCCTCTTTCCTTCTGAGAGCTAGGTGTTTCTTAATTTGATGATATTTATATGTTTACTTTGCACAAAGGCTGCAATTCGTTGTTGGATTGAGGGTTGTTTTGATTTGTGGTTTGGTGTTTTGAGATTTTCTTGGTTGGGTTTTTTGTTTGATTGTTTGATTTAGGGTTTTTCTGCCCTTTTTTTTGGTTGGTTGGTTGGGTTTTTTTGCTATTGGAGTGTTGTTAGTTTTTATCAAAAATTGCATTTTCTGTACCCGAGTTGAAGGATGGGAGTTTTAACCCTCGGGGAGTGGAAGTAGTCTGAGACTTCTCATCCATCCCCTGGAGAAGGGCTTTCATCCATCTCGGCTTTCCAGCTGCTGATTTTTCAATTTGGTTGTCCCGAACTGAGAACTGGCTGCGCGGAGGCGGCTTGGGCTGCTGCCCGCCCAGGGCGGTCCAGGAGGATTTTCAGAGGATAATGGGGTAATGCAAACTGGCACGGAGCAGCTAATGAGATATCGGAGTGGAAGCAGCCCGGGTAAAGGCAGAGGAAGGGAGCTGGCCCTGGCACTTGTGGGGAAGGACTGGTGAAAAGTGGATAAAACATGTGGAGAATTCATCCGAGGACTGGGACTCGAGATGAAGGCTCGTGGAGATTGAAGAGGCTAAGGACCAGCAGCTGGGAAAGGGCTCAGCACCTCTCCAAATGTGGTGCTGAGGAGATTCTGCTTCATCTCAGCATAACTATCAAAGGGTTAAGAAACCTCTGGATGCAAGAGGAGTAGGGGAGTGGTTTTAAGCCAGGCCAGGGGTGGGCTTGAAGTCGTAGGGGGCATGAGGGATAGGGACACCCCCGGGATCCTCATGAAGCAGCAGAGTCTGAGATGTAAGAGCATCTGTAGGTACCTCAAGCCATTGCTGTGGGTACCTTGCTGCTGGGGAGGGACAGTCTCCAGAGACAAGTCGCTGAAAGGGAAGGTGATTTGTAACTGTTAAAAGTGCTGTCTTCTGACATTTTGTGGTTCTCCTTTCACCCTGGCACCTGACCTTTTGTGCACAGAAACACAGAAGGTGGTGGGGGGAAGCTATGCATTAGCAGTTACCCGGGTTTCACTGTTTTCTGTGTCCATTTCTCTGACACTTCATCATCTTTGTTGCTTCTTCTTATGTTTTTTGATCAAAGAGTTTTACTCCCCTCAGGACAATCTTCACATCTTACCAACTGGAGGAGCTGGAAAAGGCCTTCAATGAGGCTCACTATCCTGACGTATATGCTAGAGAGATGTTGGCCATGAAAACAGAGTTGCCAGAAGACAGGATACAGGTAATCATATCTCTTGGACCCCCTTATCATGCTCCTCTCATCCACGTTCATTCCTCCCTGAGGAAAAGGTACTGGCATAGGAAGGCTGACATTGCTCTGAAGAAACCTCCCCAGGCTGTCCATTCCTCTGCTCTTGATGCATAGGCAGACAGATCAGCTGTTCTCAGCAGATTTGTATTTGATGTTTTTATGTCGACATGTGCTGTGCATGGTGTGTTGTACCAGTGATTTGGGGTGTGTGAAACAGTGGGAATCCTGAATCAGAGAAGGACAACAGGCGTGCAAGGCAAGACCACAGTATGTTTTGAGATCTTGGTATAGGCAAGGAGAGGCTCCTGGAGACTGCATCTGGGTGGGCACTGTGGAAAGAGCTCATATCTGCTCCTTTGGTCCCAGAAGGATGCACAGGGATGATGTTGGCAGCTAGTACCACTGTGGGTAGGACTGCAGTGTGGGAATGATAGGTGAGTCCCAGTGAGGTGTTTGCATGATCTCTGCAATTTCACTGCATTTGCCTCCTAAAGTGAATCTTCCCTGAAAGTTCCTGGGGATAATTTTTTTGTTAATGACTTTTAACGTTTGGGTCTTAATTGCTTGTCAGTTCTGTTGTGCCACTGTGAGAAGCTACAATGAGGCAGTGTGGAGTGTCACTTCTGTGTGGTGAATCCTCTGGTGGTAAGGAGCAGCCTGAGCTGCAGGGCTGTGCCAGCACCAGCCTTTGCCATGCATGGCAGCAATTAATGCAAGCCATTATTATGACTCAAATAGCTGGAGAAGACTTACAGCTGCTGTGCACAGCATGGGAGGCACAATGTGCTTGGACAAACTAAACATGATGTTCACAAAGGTGGGCTCCAGCAGCTTCTATTGCCTCCCTTCACCCCATGACTTACTCCGGGCAGGTTTCTACATAAGACTCAGGACTGTAATGGCCAAGCCTTGAACCCATTTTTGCTGGTACTGGTGATATTTCTGGGCTGGCTCAAAGTTAAACTGTCCTGGTCCTCTGCACAGTGGCAGTTGCAGCCTCTGTGACTGCTGCACAGCAGTTTCTACAAGAGACATTGGCCTAAGTACCATGCAGTGTTGGGAGGGTCCTGGTTTCCCTGGTTCCTCCTTCTATTCAGTCTCTCATGCATGCCCAGTGCCTGCTGAGCTGCTTCCTGAGCCTGTGCTGTTTCCTTGCTAGAGAGATGGCCCAGGAGGCTGCTCCCTCGTGGGTTTGGAAGGCAGCTCAGAGGGCATTTAGCAGGATAACACTGATGATGAAAGCTGCTGAGGTGTGGCCCCATGCAGGGACAGGGAGATCCTACCAAACAAAAATGAAGACCTTTTTCCCTCATTCCTGAACCCCTTCAACACCCTCATTCTTGTACTCAATCAAGAGTGACATTTTTAGAAAAGCAAGTTGTGATTCTTATCTCGTTGATATGGCAGGAGTCCTGATGACCTAACAGGTTGTATATAACCTACATACTGACAGGATTTCCACCAGTCTTCAGAAATAATGGCCCATCATCTGAAATCCTACCTGATGCCTTAGGATTTTGCTCTGAGCAACAAGCCCTGATGCTTTGCCTCTAGAGAGAGCGGGATGGATGGAGGGTCACTTCTCCTCTTGTGGCCCCTGTCAGACATCAAGTCAAGAGAGGAGAGACCTATCAAGAGTTTAGTGTTGCCTGCACCTGCCATCTGATGCTGGCCTAGGAAGAAGAGCCTTGGGTTTTCTGTAAAGGACCTTTTCCAGGAAGAGGTTAATCTAGTGGCACAGTATAAACTGAACTCCAGAGGCACCATTTCTCTGGCCAGGGCAGAGGACCTTCACTATGCATGAGGTGGAGAGAGATGTTATGGCAAACAGTGCAGAACTGCATGTACTGCTTCAGCATATGGAGCATCCTTCCAGTGCTGAGGCTCAGGGTTTTAACTGATACAGAAATGAAATAGTGGGTAAAGTATTTTAGCTGTCACTGACTTGCTGCCAGGACATTCTGCAGCTGGCTAATGAACAACTGCCTACTTTTCCTGTACTGCAGTTTCTAAACCTAGGAGGGCTCCTTACTGTGACCCCTCTGCCCTAGAGATGAGGTTAGGCTTGGACAGCAGAAGCACCTCATTGTATGGCTGTTTTGAACATCAGGTGTAACTAATGGCATGTGTATTCCAGAAGAAAGTGCTTGTGAGTAAGTTTTGTACATCATGAAAGGGAAAATAATGAGAAACAGCAGAATTTCTGTGGCATCTGTTGTGTGTGAGCATGAGCATCCTGCCAGGGTGAGCATCAGGGTCATGTAGGAGTCCTGAGCATCAGTGTTCTTTCCAGTAGGTCAGCACTTAATTGTCCCTTATGACACATTCTATCAAGTTTCCTTGTGCATGCTTTTTGTGTGTGAGAAGCCATGACAAAAATGATTCCCAGCTTTGATCGTGTTCCTTGATATTTCACCTCATATTCTGTTTTAACTTTATCCCTTTTTGTATGAGCCTAATTCTTTCTCTCTTGTTATAATGTTTGCAGTCTTTAAAGAAATCTAAGCTATTTCTTCTCCTGGCTGTCACTTTTGGTTTTCATCATTGCTTAAGCAAACTGCAAAGATCTTTTCTTAAATCATTCTTCAAAAATCACACGCTAGTCTCTTAATCACACAGTTATTCTTCTGTGAAGCCCATCCTGCCTGTCAGTCTTCCTGGAAATAAAGGACCACGTGCCTACGGCTGCACACTGGGTGTGTTCACACTGGTTCGCTTGGACTTTTGAGCCCTTGCAGAAACAGCCTTGGATTAACACTGGTCTGCTTGCTTCCTTATTTATTTCTATTTATCTAATTCAGTCACTTCAAACTTTTTTAGACAGCTTTTTTTCTATATTCAGGATTTTCCCTTCAGTGTTCTGGGTTTCATATGGCATTTTATTAACTTTCTCTAACAAGCATAAGGGCCCTACCAGCTCCGATACTGGCAAGAGGTGGATGCTGGAGTATGAGAACAGGGCAGCTATCTAGTGATACTTACTGAGTACTTTGTCACCCTCTTGGGATTTCAAACACAGGTAAATATCTTAATATCCTGCAGCGAGAAGTTCTGCAGCAGAACTGCCTGAGTGAAGTAAAATCTTGCTTTGAATCTCTTTGCATCATTTAATGCCCCTTGGAAGAACGAGCTGACAATGAATCTTGACTCCTGTCTTCATAATATTTATAATTTCACATCATTGTATTTTTTTTCCTTGCATGAGTTTCCAGCTGCTCAAGAGAGCTCTATATTTTTGCATTTTCATTGTAGCTTGCAGTTCCTCTCATCTTTCAACATTCCTTTCTCCCTCTTGTAGGTCATTAATGAAAGCATTTTCTAAGATTGTTGTGAGCATCACATGTTGTGGATGTTTACAGCATTTCATGTGGGTTCCCACTGGATCCACACCTAAGAGTGATATCTACCCCTTATTTTCATTCATGGAATTATTTCTCAAGAGGTAGTAGCCAAAGAGAAAGCAAATCACCTATGAAATTTGATATGAAAGTGAAATTCAAAGAGTGCAATTGAGAGAATGATATATAGGAACTGTTTGCAGGTAAAACCTTCAGCAGAACACTACAAATAGCCATCAGAGCCTAAAAAAGTTATTGGTTTGAGAGAACATTGAATCCAGGAAAAAATATTCAAATTCTCCATTTAAAGAGAAGATGGATGTGTATTTTTTTCCAAGGCAGCACTCTTTCACACTGTGTGCATCTTCCTCCCAAATTGAGCTGGCTGCTCCTGGAAGGAAAATGAGCATCCTCCCATTGGGCAGCATGGGAAAATAATTTCATTTTCCTAGTGAGACACTGTGCTCAAGTCAGACTGGATGTCACTCTGGCCATTTTGCAAGATACTTGAAAAAGACCACATTAATGTACATGAAAGAATATTCATAAGAGTTGAAGTGCCACTATTAGAATAAATCAAGACCATTCTGTAAAATCCAGGTGAGGTAAGTAGATTCTTGTGGGGAAGTATATCCTTAATAAACAATATGAAGTATTAAAAATGGCCTCAAGCTGACAAGTATTGTGGCATCTCACTTAAATTCTGTAAGAAATACTCTTAAGTATAATAGCAAATACTCTTAAGTGTAATGTGTAGATTTTAGATAAGTTACCCCTATTGAATTTATTAATGTGTAACAGTTCTCAGCTTTAAACACCAGTAGTTACAAGATGAAAGTTCAGTAACAGTTTGATTTGGGATTATTGAAATGATTGTGTATGTTTCTCCTTAAAGTATGTCTCCTACCAATCAAACAAACCAATTAACCAGTATTTCAAAAAAATAAGATCCTGACTGCCATTGTGGGGACACCAGAGTCACATTTTAAGGGAACTAATCAATTTAAAACTATAACAAAAGTGACAAAAATTGTCAGTTCTTGTTGTTAAAAGATTGTATGGTGATTATGTGGACAATGAATTTTGGGACAAATAAAATTGCTTACGTAAGCAAAAAGGAATCCCAAGTGATGCTGAGAAAAGGCTGGAAAAGAACTACTCAGACTTGTATCTCTGAGTAGCAGGTATTTGTTTATTCAGCGCTGGGCACAAGGGGGATCGCTCCACCAAACCTGTTCTACCAGGGACAAAAACTTCACAGTTTTTGTACATTAAATGTTCATACATATTCATTCTTTTCAGGAATGGGTGGTTATTATTATAATTAGTTCTTGCAAGTCATTATCATATACTTCTCCTCCGTCTCCTCCCTCTTGGCATCAGTCCCATGGTCCTGGTGGTCCTTCGGTGGTCGTGAAGATGAAGCGCCTCCTCTTCCTCAGTACCCTTTGGACACCCTTAGTATGCAACCATTTACCCCTTTGTACAGTTTTGCATGCCTTGCTGACCTTGCCTCTATCTTGAACATTTTGTTTCTTTATTCCACACCCCACATGGTCTTAGTTTTCCTTCCACTGCCAAGGTTTGAGTCTAGTTAGTTCTACTGTCTTATAGATAAGGTGCATCGTTTCG